CTCGCTGGAGCCGGAGCTTGTCCCCGGTCCAGGGCACGGAGTCCGTGGTGAATCCCTGGCTGGAGATTTGAAGGCTCTGACTCATTTTCTTCGGGGTTGAGGCCCCACGCTATGTTAGGGAGCGGTCAGAGGTGGAGGGGTTAAAATCTCCTAAAAGACACCTTCTGTTCTTGGACAGGATGACCAGCGTCGCAAAGGGGACCCGTCTCCCTCACCTTAACGTGGGCGGTTAGACACTTCACACGGTTCTCATAAAGACGCCAAGCAGGCTGTTCCGGAGCTGGGTGGGATGACCCGTAGTCACCGGGGAACGGCGTTCGGTGACCTCAGGAAACCAAGCCGGCGGCGGACAGAACGGTAGCCTGCGACCGGCCTGCGTCACACAGGCTCCGGGGCCTCCGTGGGGGGAGGGTGCGGTCCTTGCGCATGAAGGGAGAACACCACGGGGAGGAGATACTGGAACCCAGAAAGAGGGGGCACCATGACTGGTGACCGGGTGACGGACAGGCGTCGGCCGCACCTTGTCTTCTGCTTCCAGATGGGGTCCTACAGTCACAGACGCCCGGTCGGCCCTCTAGCCATTGGGACATTCGGCAGCCTTGTTGGGTGAGCACATGATACAATATACAGGTGATGGACGACATAATTGTACCCCTGAAATCTATGTCATTTTATGAACCAGCGCCACCTTAAAGCATTTCTTACACATTTAAAAAGAAAAGTGAAACCACCAAAAAAAGTTGGCAGCCTTATACATCCTCATACATCACACACACACGTACACACACACATGCACACACGTGGACACACATGTGCACACACATGCACACACACATGCACACGCAGAGTCATCTCCGGGCTCCCGTTTTTACCGTATTTCCAGGGACACCAAGAACCCTCTCTCCCGCCTGCCTGCTGGCCTTGTTCAAAACCACGACCAAGTGGACAGGACAGCCGGGCTGCCGTCGCTGCCCCCGAGACGGGGCTGTGACCTGCCAGCACTCGGTCCAGCCACGAGGAGGAGCTAGGTCCCTAGACCAGAGGTTCTCAACCTGTGGGTCGCGACCCCTTTGGGGGTCGAACGACCCTTTCACAGGGGTCGCCTAAGACCATCGGAAAACACACATTTCCGAGGGTCTTAGGAACGAGACATCGCTCCTCTGTCCGTCTCCAGGCGGGCCCCCCCACGCGCAGATGCGCCCACACACAACACGAGGAATGTATTAAAGGGTCGGGCATTAGGAAGGTTGAGAACCACTGGACCCGCCCACTCTTTGACCTCATTGGAACGGGAGATTACCCCAAAACACAGAAACAAATGTCGGCTCGTAAGACAAACTGTCCACTGTCAAAAAGATTCTGAAAGCCAACACTTGGTGACCTTGGGAGGCAGCCCTTGGCCACGGAACCTAAGGGAGCACGCTGTCAGGGGTGTTCCTGTGGCCTGTGCTGACCGGCTGGGACCCCTCCCGGTGGCGCAGCGGTGGGAACACTGAGTGGCCCAGGGAGACCACCCACCTTGAGGGGCCAGAGGGGTGAGCCAGTGAGAGAGGCTCCCTCTTACCCCCTCTGGCCCCTGCTCTGAGCTCCCTGCTCCGTCAGGGGCAAGACCTCCATGCCCACTCACTCCGGGTCAGGATGGTGGGCCCTCGGCGAGGGCATAGGCGGCTGCTGGTGCCTGGCGGGAGGTTGGGTTTGTCTGCCTTTGTGAACCAGACCCCTTGTCCTTCAGCTGACCTTGGAGCTGTGCCTCGCGGCACGTCGGGAAGGTCACCTGCAGGGCTCCAGCCTGCCACCCTTGCCGCTAAGGCGAACCCCCGTATCCGTGTATCACCGTCTCGGCAGCCGTACCGAAGCTCCGCACACCGTCCTGGATTCTCGCCCCGTCCTGGAGCCTGGAAGTGGGAGCTCGGGGTGCGGGCAGGGCTGGCTCCTCCGGGGCCCCTCTTCTGGTGGACACTCGGCCGTCCCTCTGTGAGTGTGTCCTCACCTGCTCTTCTTATCGGGACCCCAGTCAGGTTGGATCCGCGCCCCCTGTGCCCTGGTTGGACCGTTACCACCCCTTTAAAGAAAGACCCGTCTCCAAATACAGACCCTTGCGAGACACTGGGGGGTGAGACGTTCAACGCGTGAATTCTGGGGGGACAGACTGGGCCGTGACTTCCCCAAGCTCGGCTTCCGGTGGAGCTGACCTGAGAAGACGAGCTCGGGGGTCCGAGGTGACCATCACTGAGCGTCATGCCTCAGAGTTCACCTGCCGGGCCTGTGTCCCGCTCTGGGCACAGAGGGCTGTGGGGGTCGACCTACAGCAGCCAGACTCGGGCCACCCACGGAGGACATAACCCTCACCGGAGCCGTTGCCCGCTGCCCCTCCCCCCGCCCCGTGCACACAGAGGGAGCCCAGAAGGGGATCACCAGCCCCGTAACAGAGAACGTGTCAGGAGGGCTCCTTGGGAGCTCCAGCTGAAGGGGCACATGGCTGGTGGCGGAAACACAGAGGCAGAAACTGGGGGAGCAGGTCCCCTGAGAACTGGGGCAACAGGGCCCACTGAGGTGACTACGCTCTCCGAGCTCGGAGGAGGAGCTCAACGAGCTGTCCTGAGACCCCCGAGGAGGAGTGTGCTGCAGGGGCAGTGAGAAGGGGAGGGGGTGTGGCTGCTACCCCAGGCGCCGGGGCCCCTGCAGACCTCTGGGCGGCTGGCAGGTGCTGCATCTTTAAGGGACCTTCCGAAACCAGCAAGCGGAACCCAACACTCTACGGGAATCACCTGGGCGCCCAGGTGAAGGGCCAGGTGTGGTGATGCGGGCAGTCTCAGGAAGCCCCTCCTTTCTCGGGTCTCAGCCTCTCCCTAGTCCCCCAGGGCCGTGCCTGCCAGAGAGGAGGTGGAGGAGCAGAGCTCGGGCTGCGGTCCTGTCCCCGCAGAGGCTGGCTCAGCGAACCTCGCCGAGAGGAGCCGGTCACAAGGCCTGAAGCCCAGCGGTTCCCGGGAGACGGGCACTGTGGCGGAGGTGAGCCGCTCTGCGCGTTAGGGGTGTAGGCGTCGGTCTCAAGTGTCTTTCCTCCTGGGCCCCGGGGGGCAGGTCATTCTACCAACAGTCTCTTCAGGGGTGAACGGCCCGGCCCGTGCGGGAAGCTAATGTTAGAGACCCGACCCAGACACCGGCTCCCCCTGAGCGCGCCACCCCGTAGAGGGGGAACCGAGAGCTGAGCCCTGCTGTGTGTGTGTGTGTGTGTGTGTGTGTGTGTGTGTGTGTGTGCATTGCTCATCCTCCACGGGCGGCCAGGAGCGAACGTGATTCACAGATATTAGAACTGCACCCTCGACACTGTCAGCACTTGCGTCGTGTGATATTTCTTACTTAGTCACAACAGCTCTGGGCACTGGAATGGAAGCTAAGGAATTAATTGCTACTCCTCCCTCCGCCCAGCCCAGCGTTTGGCTCTGGGTGTCTTTTGCAGATGGTGTTTATACAGGGTGTGTGTTGAGCGACATCTGGGAGGTGTTGGATACATGTTGAATAATAACAGCAATGAAACTTAGTTGCCTTAGGAAACTATTAATAACCCCCGTTGGAGATTGACATTAATATTAGAAGACTATCTATCTCCAGTAAGGCGTGCAGAATCCCGAGGGGAGGGACCAAGGGGAATTTGAGGCCAGACACGTGTGACCGTATCTGTGGGACATCTTCCTGGGGTGTCACCGGACTGGAAAATCGGAAGGGACTAAATCCTTCTTGAACCGTAAGACAGACGCTGAGATGATGGAGTAGAATAAATAAATTTAAAAAAGGGGTGTGGCCTTGCAGCAGGAATAGACTGTTTAAAATGTCCCCCTGGATTCTGACGCCATCGCCCCGCGGGCCCCGCGCTGGCCGGGGTTTGTCCGCCGCGCTGGGGCACTGAGTGACGTGTTGGAAGCACCGTTCTTGTTCTAACACCAGGAGGTGGTAGCAGCCTGTTGTCTCCCTGGTCCCTAGAACCAGGGGGGACGCCAACGCAATAGCAAACAGTCTGTGTTTTGAGAAACGGGGGGTGTGGCACTGTGGGGGACAGAGAACTCTCTAAGGTGTTTCCGGAGAAACGCACGGATCAACGGGCCTCCCGAGATGCGCTGCCTGTCTGCACGGCCGTGACCTGTCTTTCCCTGCTCACTGCAAGCCAGGACCACGTGTGAGCACGCTGTTCCGTGTCTGACATCCTAACTGATATGATTTATTATCTGCAAGAGAACGCACAATTACGTGTATGGTCGTGGCCGCGGAGGTCGTACTACCTGATTTTTACGTTCACGCCTTCCAGATTCGGAGGCAGAACACAGACGGTTCTGTCGCGTGAGATCGTTTTAAAGGTGGGTGCCGTGACCCGGGTTTTATACGCTCACACAAACACAGCGGCGTCACTTACCGGCCGCAGGAGTTTCACAGGGGTGTCTGGGCGGGGGGGGGGCGGAGACCACATTTTGTCATGTTTCCGCCTTTCTCCTCGGTTGCCGGTGACCTCATCACTGGCACACACACACCAATAAATAAAGAGCAGTAAGCACATCAGCCCGCTGTCCCCCCAGAGGGCCCGTGTCTGGTGATCGTGACTTTGCTGCCCTCGCTTCTAAAACTGGAGCGAAGGAGTCGACGGTGTTGTGACAACTGCTTTCCTGTGAATTCACGATTCCCGCACGAAAGGTCTCGGTCCGGCAACATCCGAATCCACGTCGTACGACAAAACCACAGCCTGTAGACGAGGTTGACAGATGCTACGGAACGGGTGCCTGCCTCCGTGCGCGGGAACTGTTGCACTGACCTGGAAGGGGGCGTTGGATCTGCCTTCTGGTTCCTATTCCAGGTGGGCGGGTTGCGTTTTAGGATAAATTAGCCAGTGTGAGCATTTGCCTCGCCCATACTTGTGTGTGTGTGTGTGTGTGTGCGCACGTGTGCGCGAACAAAACCACAGAGTCGATGTTCGCTGGTCTTACAGAGAGGCAGCTGTGGACTTTATTACATTTAGAGACAATAGTTTGTGGTCACATACTAGAACACACACGAGAACTACTCGGCGGAACTCATGAGGACCGTGGGAGGAACGTGTGAAATGGGGACTCTCTCACGACACCGCGGAATGATGGTTCCGAGACCCGCCCCAGACCTTGCCATTGTCACTTCCTATGCGTTCTGCAAACCCTCGCGCACCCTGCCCAGATTGTTTTGTTGTCTCCCTCTCTCCTGCCCTGTTGAACTGCTCAGGCACAAGGGTGATGGCCATGCTAGATTTGGGAGAGGGAGGAGCACTTGGCGGGCAGCGGCGGTAGCTGTTAGGCGCAGAGCGGCAAACACGAGCTCAATGAGACAAAGAAGGTCGCCGAACGGCACCTTCCTAGCTAGCGGTGGGGAAGTGGGGCATCAGGGGCCACCCAGGGGAAGGTGAAGGACTAGTGTCTCCTACACGGTGCTGGCTGGGGTGGGGGACACAGACCACACTGGACACTTCACTGAGTTACGGAAATAGCCCTTTGTCATCCCAGGCGCTGGGACTCAGTGCTGTCTACAGAAGAAGTTCTTGAAGGCGGTGTTGTAGTTCTTGTTGAACGCCGTGTAGATCAGGGGGTTGAAGAAGGAGTTGGAGTAGCCCAGCCACAGGAAGATGCTCTTCCAGATGGCGGGGAGGTCGCAGGAGCAGAGGGGGCTGACGAGCTCCGTGGTGAAGAAGGGGATCCAGCAGAGGGCAAACACCCCGATGAGAATGCCCACCATCATGGCCGCTCTCTGCTCCCTCTGCTCCCTGTAGGTGTCGCCTTCCGTCTGGAAGGTGACCGTGGCGTTGCGGACCGTGAACAGCGTCTGGGGCTCCCGAGCAGGGACCCTCTGGAAAAGGTAAGCAGAAGGTTTGTGAGGAGCCAGCAATGCCCTGTCCCACTAAAGTTCCAAGAGGAATGGTCTATATTTATTTTTTATTTTATTTTTTTAATCCTCACCCGAGGACACTTTTGCATTTATCTTCAGATAGAGCAGGAGGGAGAGAGGGGGGAAGAGAGAGAGAAACATCAACGTGAGAGAGACACATCGACTGGCTGCCACCCACACGACCCCAACTGAGTCTGGGGACAAACCGCAACTGAGGGACGTGCCCTCAGCAAGAACCGAACCCGGGACTCTGGTCCTCAGGCCAACACTCTAACTGCTGAGCCAAACCGGCCAGGGCAGGAATGGTCTCTGTTTAGATGCGGAACAACACAGCTTATATGGGTGTCTCCGTGCCTTCCATACAAACAGGGGAAGGACAGATCCTTCAGCTGAGGGTGTTAGTTGTCTAAAGAGGAGAAAGCACATGGGCTTGTAGTAAGTTCACAAAAAAATTCAAAACAGAAAAAATTTATTTTAAAAAACATTGATTAGCCCGGCCGGTGTGGCTCAGTGGTTGAGCGTCGACCCCTGCACCAGGAGGTCGCCAGTTCAATTCCCGGTCAGGGCACATGCCTGGGTTGTGGGCCCGATCCCCAGTGGGGGGCATGCAGGAGGCAGCCAGTCGGTGTTCTCTCTCATCCATGTTTCTATCTCTCTCTTTCTTTTTTTTTTTTTTTTTAATCCTCACCCGAGGATATTTTTCCATTTTTTGTACAGATAGAGTGGGAGGGAGAGAGAGGAAGGGGGAGAGAGAGAAACATTGACGTGAAGGGACACATCAAGTGGCTGCCACCCGCACGACCAACCAGGGCCGGGGACAAACTGCAACCGAAGTACATGCCCTTAGCGGGAACCGAACCTGGGTCTCTCCGGACCGCAGGCCGACGCTCTAACCGCTGAGCCAAACTGGCCAGGGCTCTATCTCTCTCTTTCTAAAATCAATAAAGAAAAAATCTTTGTTTTAAAAAGATTGAGTGTACCAGGAGGCAAACGAAGGACGCAGTGTGTGGTGTACACAGTACATTTTTAAAGGCTTACAGGGAAGTCCATGTTATTTAGTGGAAAACTTCAAGCAGTGAAAATCGTCACCACTCCTGTGCACCAACTTGCAACTGAGATTTCCAGATTGTTATTGGAAGAGCAGATTTTTAGTTTCTGTAACACACCTATGGGTTCGGGGGGGGGCGGGCGGGCTCTGCTTCCACAGAGAATATGCCACTGTTCTGAGACAGGACCCCATTAGCTGAACATACCTACGCGGTGTGTCATTCGAGACATTATCGGAGAAATGGCAACAGCCCTTGAGTCCGCAGGCAGATGCGTGGGAGCGAGATGCATGAGAGCACACATTCATCCTCCGTGTTGTCAGGAGTCTGCCTTTTCGCACACATACCCCCCATTCTGGGCCACGCTCTCGGTGGATTAACTGGACCACGTGGTCCCCGGCCAGGGAGACTAGCCTCTTGAAGCCCACACCTCGAAACCTGCTAATCGAAGCTTTGTCTCCTGGCCTCGGCAAAATGACAGGCCTCCGTGAAATCAGTGCACACGTCCTCAGAACCTACACGAAGCCTTTCAGTTGTCCATTGCATGCAGAGTAGGTCCCCGGCGCTAACAAAACCCACCCGGCATTTTTCTCCTGGTCGGTTCATTGTGACTCATCGCCTCGTCCTGCCTCTCTTATTATCGCCCACCAGTCGAACAGCGCATGAGTCACCGTATAATCCGTGACCAGCGGGGGCGGGGTGGGGGGGGAATCTCATGATTGTGTGTCTGTAATTGAAGAAGTATCTTGGCCCCAAACAGAACCCTGACACTCTGGAACCAAACCCTCCCTTACTATGGTTTGTTGATGGGTATTCTGTTAAAAGCAAAAGGGGTAATACCAGATTTGACACACAGTTTGTCCAGTCTCTCTGATAAAATCCAATTTTTCAAAAACAGAAAGCCAGACTGTTCAGTGACGGAGCCCGTAGAATTGGTAAGCAGGTGGTAAGCACAGACACTAAGAGCTGGTATGTGTCAGAACCCTTCACCTCTTTAACGTGCTGGAGAAACATCATTTTCGGGTATTCTTTAAAAAAGAATGAACAACACATGTATGTTCCTTGATGCTTGGATGCACTCTGAAATAATCCTGAACTGAGGTTCTTCAGAGAGCGTCCCGGAGCAGAAGCATGGATGCGGACAGTTAAACCAAGAACCCTGGGATGAGCAGATGACCCCGCGGAGAGGTGACTGTCCTGACAATATACCTAGACCATACCTGCAACTTTGCCAAAGTGGACCACCTCTCTTTTTTAGAAAATGTGTTTTTATTGATTTTTTAGAGAGAGAAGAAGTGTGTGAGAGAGAGAAACACTGATGTGAGAGAGAAACATCGACTGGCTGCCTCCTGCACGCCCCCTACTGGGGACTGAGCTGCAACCTGGGCGTGTGCCCTGACGGGAATAGAACCGGGACCTCTCAGTCCATGGGATGACGCTCAGTCCACTGAGCCACACTGGCCGGGCTGATCACCTCTTGTTCTGGGTTCTTCGTCCTGTGTTGGAATCGGGCTTTTTCGTGTCTACCCGGAAAGAAGAGTCAGTGTTCAGCAGGACCATCCGTGAGGTCATTCCAAAGACGAACTCTCCAATGCCCTCCGTGAACTACATCTCCTTCCAAAGGAGTCCGAAGAGCCCTGGCCGGTTTGGCTCAGCGGTTAGAGCGTCGGCCTGCGGTCCTGAGAGACCCGGGTTCGGTTCCCGCTAAGGGCACGTACCTCGGTTGCGGTTTGTCCCCGGCCCTGGTTGGTCGTGCGGGTGGCAGCCACTCGATGTGTCCCTTTCACGTCGATGTTTCTCTCTCTCTCTCTCTCTGTTCTTCTCTCTCCCTCCCACTTTACCTGAACAAAAAATGGAAAAATGTCCTCGGGTGAGGATTAAAAAAAAAAAAAAAAAAGGAGTCCAAAGAGATAACCTTCTTTCAGGGAAAAGATCCCCGGGGAAAGTGACCATCGGGGGAGTTAGGTTTTGATGTCAAAGAAAAAAGGTGGAGAGTTACCTGATACAGCTTGAGCTTGGGGGCCTCCGTGTGAGGAGCTCCACCCAAGTGGTCCTGGCCAGTAGGTCTTACCTCGGCCCACCAGGGAGGCGTCTACCCCAGGGCAAACACTTCATGCCTCCTGAATTCACGCTACAGATGAGGCAAAATGATCTCTTTGGGAGCTAAAGAAAAGGCCACCTGGCTACCTCGGGTAGACACGGGGAGCTTGGGACTTCCTGTACTGATCAGCACCGGAAGGTCTGGGCTCGTACCTTGGGAGACCATCAGCTCTTCCCACAGTGCTTGTGGTTTGTCTCGGAGTTGTTTGGAGTGCGAGTGAACCTCCTTCAGGGGGCGCCGCACGCCAAGTCACGCACACTCCGTGGCTCCCTCCAAGCTCCGCACAGCTCTGTCCTGGCCAGTGATCTGGCCGCAGGGCCCACGCGGTTGCTGACCCTCAGCCCTCCCCACGGCAGGAGGAAGAGCTGCCCCATCCCTGGTGGTCTCGCTGGAAGCTTTGGCTGAATGAGGACCAAGAGTGAGGGACTGAGAGCCCTGGCTGGTTTGGCTCAGTGGTCAGAGCGTCGGCCCGCGGTCCAGAGAGACCCGGGTTCCGTTCCCGCTGAGGGCACGTGCCTCGGTTTCAGTTTGTCCCCGGCCCTGGTTGGGTCATGTGGGTGGCAGCCACTCGATGTCTCTCTTTCACATGGATGTTTCTCTCTCTCCCTCTTGCTCTATCGGAATAAAAAATGGAAAAATGTGCTCAAGTGAGGATAAAAAAAAAAGAGCGAGGGACTGAGGACAAAGTGTCCCCACAAACCTAGGGCAAGAATGAGTGTCCTGTGGCCCAGAGCCCATCGAACCCACTCTGTCCCTCAGGACAAGCCATCCCCGTGGACTTGCTTTCGAAAGCCGTTTCCCAGGGCCAGCCCCTCCCCTCTGACAGCCAGGTGAGGGGGGAGGGACCAGCTCCAGTCATCTCCCCGGGAGTAGCGACCGGCTAACAAAGTTGCCCACAGGGGGAGGGCAACCCACTCACACCTCGGGAGGTCCCCCCGAGCCTGCACTCCACTCCTCCCCCAGTGCCACCTAAGAGCTGCAGAGCTCGGCCCAACCCCGGCTCTCTTGTGCTCGGGGGAGCAATCAGTTCAGTGTCCCTTCGGTTCTGAGCTTCAGGAATGGCCTCATCGCCCCGTGACAAGGGCAAGGCCTGTCTGGCTCACGTTTTCCACCCCCACCTCGCTGTCTGACAAGGGTTGGGCGTTCGGGGCGTGTGTGCGTGTGTGCAGAGCTCAGCCGACGCAGAGCAGGAAGTGCTGTGTTCCCCAGGTAACCCAGCGAGTCCGTGGTAGGACTGCATCGGGAAACTTTTGCACCTGCTGCCAGGGTTTGTGTTAACCCTTCCCATGACACGAGGACAGACAGCCCCCTGAGACAGGCAGGGTCCCTCAGTGGCCTTGCCAAGCCGAGGGGTGCATTTTCCCCAAAGTCATCTGGCAGAGAACAAGGGGGAGGGGGAATGAAGCCGAGCTAAAAAATAGATTGAAAAGCACAAAGATGTCACAATGCTTTGCTTCTGTTATCTCCGAAGGAGAGCTGTCTTCCTTCCCAGGGCACCCGGAGACACCACTGACTGCTTTCCCCTGGTAAAGTGTGTTTGGCACAGACCGGACACTGTCTTGACCTGCGGATGGGCAGCCAAGGGTCCCTGGAACAGGGGTCTTGGAGGCAGTGGGCCTCTTTTCCTGACCCGGAATTGGGGCGAAGGGGGGTCTCACACACAGGAGCTCCAAGCACTTCGGTGCCCTCTTGCCCAGTTAGACATCGAACAGATCAGGGTTGCCCACACCTGGCGCTGTGGACATGCTGGTCTGAGTGATTCTCTCTGTGGGGGGCACTGTCCTGGGCCTTGGACCAAGTTTAGCTCCATCCCTGGTCTCCGCACACTAGGTGCTATTAGCGCCCACTCTCCAAGTCCTCATCATCAGAAATGAGTCCCAGGATCCCAAATGCCTCCCCGGGGGGGGGGGGGTAAAATCACCCCTGATGGAGACCACTGTTTTGGATAAAAGGACAGGTAGCTAACCCCCTTTCCATCTTGCCTCTTGAGTGATGCTGTCTCCTTCCTCCCTAACCTCCACCCCTGGTCCCTCTGGGCTTGACTGGCTGCTTAGGGCTGGACCTGACTCCTGACGGTCATTCTGGGACTGGCAGGAGGTACGCACGTCCTTCCCTAGACAACTCTTCACGACAAAGATGACGTCTTCATTCTTCCATCCCTTGCGCCGAGCACAGACGTGCTCAGGGTGCTTAATTGAATGTACCTTGTTCTCCCAGAGCCGAGGATAGGAGAGGGGGCTGCATGGGTCTCGGGTCTATTTGTGTATGTTAATGAGGTTGCAGGGACCATCCTTGGCAGTGAGTTGGGGGCCGGGGGAGGACGGTCCACAGCCACTGGCTTCAGTCCTCGTACATTTGGGGTCCCAGGGTCAGACTGCTAAGAGTTAACAACAAAAATGAGAAAGGAGCCCTCCCTGTGGTGGTTGCAGTTGCCACGTGAAATGCCACTTGTGGAGGGCGGGCGGGTGGCATGCTTTGGCGGCCTTGCGCTCTGCTCCCCGGGGGCACACACAGCCCAAGGGGTCGTGGGGCTGGGCCCAGAGCACAGCCGGGGCTGCGGGATCCCGTAACAAAGGCCGGCTCCCAGTCCGGTGTGAAAACATCTTTGATCTCGCAGCTGGGATACAGCCGTCAGTGATCCGGGAGAGACCACAGTTTGCAAAATTAGTTGCTGTAATTGGCCAAGAAAGAAATAGTCTGGGTCGAAAGAGTAATCTGTGTTGCCTGCTGCATGGTCATCTGCCTGCAAAATCATGTCACCCTCCGGCCCTTCCCTCCTGCTCGGAACCCCACCCCCACCCCCCAAGGGCAGGAAGCTGCCAGTTTACCCAGGATTAGCCCCAGGCACGGACTTCTTGCCCTGTTCTAAACGTTAGAGCCCTGTGGGGCCTGGAGAACTAGGTGGTCCAGACCCCCTGCTTTGCAAATAAGGAAGTGACCCATCAGAGGTGATTAAGGGCATCTATGGCCTTGGGATACTGAGCAAAGTCAGTCTGATGCTTGCTTCTGGTCTTCCACCCAGCCCCCCTCTCTTCCTCCTCCTGCACCCCCCCCAAAAAAAAAACCCTAAAAAGTTCCACTTTCAACCAACTCGAGGGGAGGTGGACTGGGGGTAAAGCCTGCACAGGTGCTAGCAAAGCGTGTTTAAGGGCCCGCAACACCCACCTCCGCAGCCCTCGGCGCGGGATAGACGCTGTTCTTCCTGAGGCTCAGCCGCAGCTTGGCGGCCCTGTAGATCCGGCAGTAGACGAACAGCACCACGCACAGGGGCACGTAGAAGGCACTCATGGTGGAGAACACGGCGTAGGAGGGCTCGCGGCTCACCTGGCACTGCCGGCTGCGCTCGGTGTAGGTCTCCCCCCAGCCGAAGAGCAGCGGCGCCAAGGAGATGACCGCCGACAGCGCCCAGGTCAGCGCGATCATGACGTTGGAGACGCGCTTGCGTGTGCGCAGCGTGTACTCCAAGTGGCGGGTGATGGACCAATAGCGGTCCAGCGCGATGGCGGTCACATTCCAAATGCTGGCGGTGCAGCAGAGCACGTCACACGCGATCCACAGCTGGCACAGCCGCCGGCCCAGATGCCAGCGGCGCCCGGACAGCTCGTGCACCAGGCTCAGTGGCATGACCAGAGTGGCCACCAGCACGTCGGAGAGGGCCATGGACACCACCAGGTTGTACGGGACGCGGTGGAAGGTGCGCACGCGGGCAATGGTCGCCAGCACCAGCACGTTCCAGGCGAACGTCGCGGCCACCAGTAAGCCCAGCAAGATCACCACGAGCACCCCGAAGACGGAGAGGTGCACTGGATTAGGGCGCGAGTCTTCGGTGCCCAGGCTGAGGTTGGTCTCCAGAGGGGACGGGGTGGAGAGGGAGAAGGTTAGGTTCCCAGGCGAATCCATCTCTGGGTCAGGAGACCGGCTCAGGGTGCGTGCAGAGGGGGCGTTCAGGAGGACATCAGGTGGCCACTGCGCACGGAGCCCCTCCGGATGTTTGCAACCTCTGGCCAGTGGCAGGGTTTCTGGGGAGCGCCTGTGAGCATCTGTGGGAGATGGCGTGACGAGGAGGACGGCGTTGGGTTACAAGCAGAGGCAGGTCTGAACCCCTCAGAGGCGAGGAAAGCAGAACCAGGGGCTGCGTCTCTCAACCAGGGTTCGCCTGAGCTGTCACCTGTCCTGGGCTCTTCACCTTGGCGGAGACAGCAGTCTGGTCACCCGCAGCCGAGCATCTCCCAAGTCGGGGAGAAGCTGGGCGCCCCGGAGCGTGTGGGTGTCTTAAAAGAGTGGTGCGTCAGAGCAGGACTTCCAGGAGCACTGCCTGAGTGCCCGCCCCTCTCTCTAGGCGGCCGCCTCGGCGGCAAGCGGGGACTCCAAGCAGGGACCTGCTTTCTGGGACCTGCCTTCTGCTGTTCTCCCGTCCCCGCCCCACCTGGTCCGGGGCTGCAGCTCCGAAGAGGGGACCCTGGCGTGCCCACCGGACCAGCTTTATCAAACTGGGGATCCAGCCTACGTAAGACATCAGCTGATAAGCTCGCCCCTCCCCACCTCTCGCCCGGAGCGCGCGGCGCTGTCCGCGGTGCTGCCACCTCTCCGCACCGGAGCGGATCCCCGCCTCTGGTGCTGTCCATGGTTCTGCCGCCTTCCCCGCAACCGAGTTCCCCGAGGGGAGCAAGTTCCCCGAGGAACTTTCCTTGAAATCGTCCTCTCGCCACCCCCTACCCACATCTTCCTAGGGGTGGTCTGGGAGCCCCGAGGGGGTTCTCATTTTTGCGTAGCCGTTTGTCTTAGTGCATGTGTTTGAGTTTAGGGTCTGAGATAATATCGCTGGCCTTTCTTCTCTGGAAGCTTTCAGTCCATGATTGCCTCCCTCTTACACCATGCCACCTCCTCGGCGCTTCCCTTAAAAGGCTGTTTTCCTTTAAGGAGAAAAGGCAAGATAGTAGTTACTGCTGTTCCTAGAGAGGCTGAGGTGTTGGAGCCAGAACACGGAATCCACTTCCCCACAGAGAACCTGCACACACTCTTCAGTGGGCTCCACTCAATTTGCTTGCAGGGAGGGGACATTTGGGGATTGTCCTGAAAGCACCATCTCACGGAAAGGGGGCGCCTTTAATTCTTACCCCCACACATCTGCACACAACCATGCACACATCCATAATAACTGAGAATATCGGAAGCTCCTACCCAGAAGTTAGGCTCCCCCCCACAGACACGCGATAGACTAAGGTAAAATGAATGGGAATGAGGAAAATGAGAAAACACAAAGAAAATACAATAACCTTAAGCTTTTTTTTTTTTTTTTGAAGGGCATACCAGGGGTGTCATGAAATCCTGTGCATTCACAGTTGACTGGCTGCAAATTTGGCCAGAAGTCTTGAAGCTATTCGAAAAGGAGAACCCTGGCCCGGCCGGTGTGGCTCAGTGGATGAGCATCGACCCATGCACGAGAGGTCGCCGGTTCGATTCCCGGTCAGGGCACATGCCCAGGGTGTGGGTCAAATCCCCAGTGGGGGGCACGCAGGAGGCAGCCAATTGATATTCTCTCTCATTGATGTTTCTATCTCTCTCTCTCCCTCCCCCCCTTCTCAAATCAATATAGAAAAGAAATTTTTTTAAAGTAGCACCCAGTCTTGTCAGAAGATTTGGCTTCTAGTGGTGTAAAGAGAAGACACTGAGGACAGAGGACCTCCTGTGCTGGGACCCAGAGGAGAGGATGCTGTTGGGAAACGTTGATGAGAATGTTATTCCTTAACTACGCGATGATTGGCAGTGATGCTTCCCCAAATATCCCCGAAAAAGAGCGGCTGGGGGCTGCCTGTGGGCACCGCTACTGTGTGCCTCTGGCCAAGGGCAAGTCTTGTGTTGAGTCCCAGCACATCGCCTTCTTGGGGTCACAGAACCAACTGGAATGTGATGTAAACGACAAAACCTCTTCCTGGAAAAAATTAAAATGCTGTGAGCAATTCTGCCGGGGTTCGTGTTCAGCCCCCCCGCCCCCCGGAGGCGCAGTGGGTGAGCCACACATCCGGCTCACAGGCCTTTTCGATGCTCTCCCGGTGCAGATCATCAGTGGCATCGTGAGCTTGCAATTATACTCCCACCTGAGCTGCGTGGTGCAGCAGCCTTATCGACAGTTAAGTGAGCAGGAGTCTCACAGGGGGCCCGGCCAGGGATAACTGAGCATGCTTTGTGAAAATTGGAGTGTCATAAAGTTAACAACTAAGTAGAATGCTCTCATAAAGAAGGCGTGCATGGAGCTCTTCCAGAAGAAACAAGTGTGTGGAGAAATTCTGGTGCATCTCATTACAGTCACAAAGGAAACATCAGATGTTCCAGCTTTGTATCTTCAAGCAGAGCCATCATTTTAGCTTAAAAAACAAAATGTAGCCCTGGCCAGTTTGGCTTAGCGGTTGGAGCGTTGGCCTGCGGTCCAGAGAGACCCGGGTTCGGTTCCCGCTAGGGGCGCGTACCTTGGTTGGTTTGTCCCCGGCATGGTTGGTTGTGCGGGTGGCAGCCACTCGATGTGTTCCTTTCACATCGATGTTTCTCTCTCTCTCTCTCTGTTCCTCTCTCTCCCTCCCACTCTACCTGAACAAAAAATGGAAAAATGTCCTCGGGTGAGGATAAAAAAAAACAAAATAAAAAAACAAAAACAAAATGTAAGCAGGTACCCCCCCCCCCCCCCCCGCACACACACAAGCTTCAAGGGACACAGTTTCTTGGCTTACCACCTCTGGGCTGAATCGGGGGTGAATTCTCCCTCAAAATTCATACGCTGAAGTCCTAACCCCCGTGCTTCAAAGGGCGTCTGTGTTCGGAAATAGGGTCTTTAAAGCGATGGTTACATTAAAATGAAGTGAGTCAAACTAATGGCTTTAAAAAAATTTTTTTTTTTTTATAAAGCATCATTTTTACTTGAAAGAACTCCTGGCAGATAAATGGTCATGATTCAGGCTTAGCTATCTGGCGGGCATTTTCTCAAGATAAACGAAGTGAGCCTTTACTTCAAAGGAGACGACGGACAGGATTGGTGACCTGAACAATTGGAGGCTTTAAGTGAAAATCCGAATTTTGGAAAACTCCTATTTACCGCTGTGACTTGAACATAAAGGCCATTCTGATGAGACCGGTGGTGATGATAACCAACGCGATTTTTTTTTTTTTTTTTTTGATCCTGTACAGGGACGTGTGTCCAGATCAGGAAAGTCTGGATTCTATATTATCTGGGTGATTCAGGGATGCTATAGTACCCAAATGACCAGGGTGTGATGCTACAGCATCACAGAGGATGAGCGATCCATCTCAAAGGGAAAAACAGACCGATGGATTTTTAACTCCACAGAGCACCCCAAAAGTGCATGTGTTGAGATTCCATACTGCAGAAACCCTTGAAAAAATGACCAATTATTATTATTTTTTAAATATGTTTTTATTGATTTTGAGAGAGAGAGAGAGAGGAAAAGAGAGAGAGAGAAACATCCAGGTGAGAGAGAGAGAGACATGGATCGGCTGCCTCCTGCCTGCCCCCTACTGAGGATGGAGCCCACAACCCGGGCATGTGCCCTGACTGGGAATTGAACCGGGACCTCTCAGTCCCTGGGACAACGCTCAATCCACGGAGCCACCCTGGCCGGGTGAAAGGACCAATTACTATGTTTTGAAAAGCCATGCCAGAAAGATGTCTGTAATCATCTGAAAAGACTATTGAAACGCTGCTCCACTTGTCAGCTGTGATTTCTGCGAGGCGTTCTTCGTAAACTTACACGCATCACAGCAGATGGGGCACAGAAGCAGACACCACAGTGCAGCTGTCTTGATGAGACCTGCGGAAACAGACAGAGCCCCTCAACCGTTCTTTGGAAATGGTTATTGTTCATGAAGACGTCACGTACGTAAACATGGAAGGGGTTGGCTCTCTTGTTTTCAACGGATTAGTGCACGAAGACGTTTCGAATGTTCCCGGTTCACATCCATGTTCCAGGAAATGTGTGTCGCGAAAACCCATGGAAACCAACCCTCTTTGTGATGCTCAGTGATCAGGACGAACGAGAAGGAGGCCAGGGAGCACAATGTTCAGTCACCGCTGGGCGGGCGTTCTCCCCACATCCCCCTGGGCCCCTGTGCGGATGCGGGGTGTTCACGGAACTGGCTGAGCAAGTCTGTTGGCGGCCTTGGTAAGACACGTGAGCTTGAAAGGGAGGGAGATAAACCCTGGGGAGATTCGGATTCCAGCACCCGCCACGTCAGTGGAGATTAGGGGCCCCGTGGTCGGGGGCGTGGCAGGGTGTTGCTTACAGTGGAGGAGAAAATGATTGTCCTGGGGACTTCCAGCCACTACAGGGGAAGCACGTGCTCGGCTGTCACTTTGGCTGGCACCGGCAACACAATCCACACGCAAGGATACCCGGTCCAGCGGCCCACTTTGGGTGGAGAAGAGCAGGAGAGGGCTCTGCCAAGGGTCCTGCTTGTGGGGAAGAGCACCCTTCAGCTTGGGCCTGGAGACTTGGCAAACCTCCTGGTTCCAGGGGTGCCTGTGATGGAGAAGATTCTTTGGAGGTTTTATGGTGAACACAGTAAGAGAGTCGCAATACAGACTCCCAGGTTCTGGCTGGAGTCACGCCATCTGCACGGGAAACGTTGCGCCGTGGGCAGTGCCACGTCTGGTGTGCCCGGCTGTGAGGTGACGGTGGGCTGAGACACAGCACCACGATCGGCATCCTCAGCCCTCCCCCCCAAGATGGGCTCCGGGGGGAGAAGCAAACGGAAGCAGTCACAGCAGGGCGGGGGGCAAGGAACCCCACAAGCAAGTAGCCTGGACCACCTGGTCCCCTGTCAAGGGTGAGCCCCTGGCCCTTGGCTCAAAGCGGATCGGAAGCAAGACAGGGTGGGAGGGGTGCCCAGGT